CTGTTCCCACCTGGAGATCCAGAAGGCATTTTGCAGTGGTGAGTTTAGTGGCACAGAATTCCCCAATTTATTTGAAATGTTCCCTGTCTGCATGTCTGGGCATGGCATCGCCTCTGGGGCAACTCTAAAGCTGCCCAAGCTGGGAAAAGCTGGCACAGCCCAGAGCTGGAGAGTGAGGATCTGGTGTTTATTTTACATTTAGAATCCAGGCTCTGACAGAAGCTTTTTTCTTAAGGTTGGGAAAGCATTTAAACCCCTCTAGGCTTAGAACAAGCCCTCAGCAATATTGGACTGTGACACCAGGCACAGGCCTGATGTGCATAATGAGATTATTCAGCTGTTAAAGCCACCTTTTATTTGGAGGCAGGAGTCAGCCCCAGTAGGAGACTCTGTTTACTGATGCAGAGTTGTAGGTGTGCTCTGCCAGGACTAGACAGGACTAGACAAGTTTTTTTTTTTCTCCTATCTCTTGTTTAACTTCACTGCTCATTTTGCAGACATGTCTGAAAATCTCTTTCTGGACAAGTTCGAAAGGACAAAGTTGTGCTTGTTATTGACAGAGATCATTCATATATCCCTGCTACACAAAGATTTCATTTACTTGCCAAAATATCTTGAGTTACCAAGTTGATTAAACTGATTCACTGGAGCGGAGAAGATCCATGGCCTAGTCACGGTAAAATCCATTTTAGTGTTGGCACTGAATTTTTCAAAGGCACCAATGGATGTCAGTGGATGCCTTTGGATTACTCATTTTTGGGTCTGCTTGAAAAGGCAGGCTCAGTGTTACATCAGGCTTAAGTTGGCAGTGGCATTACACCAGGAGATGTTGGCTTATTTTCTTTTGAAGCATGATGTCACTGCCCTTTCTAACATGAATAAAGTGCATGATCACCACAATTTTGAGAGGAAACAAAGGTCCTTGTGTGTTTATACCACACACTTCCACACCTTTGACTGTGTTGGTGTAAAGGCCACACAATTAGATCTGGTTTTACCTTTGTCTGACAGCTCAGAAAGCTTTTGTTTCTAAAGCACCTGTTTGGTTTGTGCACACACTGATCAAGCTTTTCTACTGATTTACCAAAACCACAGAGATCTCGCTTTCTGAGTCTCAGATATAAAGCAGGGGGTTTTTTTTAGTTCCTGAAGCTCTTTTTCCCAAGTTTTTCTATATTTCCTCAATTACTGTCATGCAACTTGCACACAGGATTCATATTGTGCCAAATACTGGCCTAATGCAGAATCTGTAGGTGTACTCACTATTTCCTTGTAGCCAAATCCAGGAAATCATCCTTTTTTGCCAAGTGAGCAGATATAACTTTTTTAGACCCATCTGGGTTTTTTTCTCACAAGTTTTGTAGATTATTTATGGTCCCTATTTCCTGGAAAGGAACTGCATTTTGGTGCACATACTCTTTAAGGTGTACAAGCTTTCATCTTATCCTGTTACAATAAATCACATTTGCTTATCTCCATCCTGACACTCAGATCCAAGGTAACCTCTCTTCACCACACACCTCCAGCTGACAATCTTCCTCAGGACTCCAGTTGTGGGCATTTTTTTTGGGTTGATATAACTCCTAAAATGGCAAGGGCTATAATGCCTTCAGAAATACTCCAAGCTGATTATGGTTTTCTATTTAAAATACTGCAAGTTTAGATTTGCTAGATAGTCAGACACACACTATTTATTATATACAACCTTGGGTTTGAAACATTTCTTGGTTTTTTGGTGAGAACATCGGGTAGTACTGAATCAGCCTCACACAGGAGCCTTCCTAGGACAGGCTCTCTGTGCCAGAAGAGCCAGGCCAGGAGAGTCCCCTTGGATACATCCTCAGGAGCAGCGTTTCTGCTGGCACAGGTACCACATCCTCACATTTAGATATGAGCCAAAGTCAACAAAACCTTTTATTGACCCAGATACAGCTCCAGCAAGGCTTTTGCCACGTGTAATCATGTCCTACACAAGATGAGCATGCTGGCAAATCTGCAAAGGACTTTAAATCTTTATTAACTGGATTTCGAATCACAGAAAAAAACCAGCAAGTTGACTTGATGAGAAATATATTCCATAAAGCCCTGCTTAGACTTGATTGAACCAGTAAGTGAACTCGTATATACAAATATTTAATTAGTTCTCCAAGACCTACATTGTGTGGCTGAACCATGTCATTGGAAAAAATGGAGGAAAATTTTTAATATTCAAACCTATTCCTATCAGTGCTAATTGGGAAATATTCAGCTAAGTGCCTGTCTGATTTAAAGCAAAACCACATTGATATCTGCTATTCGACTGGTATTTGCTTAAGAACTGTGGAAAAGTATTTCATCATCATGCAGTGTGCCTGCAACATTTGTCTTTTTCCCCAAGCATAGAATGGAAGTGTTTAACTATATCAACCCTTTATGCCTCTCTAGTGTCAACTTCACTAAATCATATAACCTTTCAGCATTATTTTCAAAGTTCCTTTGTTCTAATTGAAAAAAAATAAATATTCAATTTCTGTTACACTTCACTGTATTGGCCACATGACCACTGTCATACAGTTGTATCCTTTTGCCTTCTTTGCAACATTCAATTTTATTTATTCGCTCTATGCCAGTGCTTGGTCACCCACAGTGAAAAAAATTGTCTCCTAATGTTCAGAGAGAATCTCCTGTGTTTCAGTTTGTGCCCTTTGCCTCTGGTCCTGTCATTGGGCACCCCTGAACAGAGCCTGGCTCTGTCCTCTCTGCACCTTCCCTTAGGTATTTACACACATTGATAAGATCCTCCTGAGCTTTTACTGTTCCAGGCTGAACAGTCCCAGTTCTCTCAGCCCTTCCTCATCTGTGCTCAAGTCTCTTCGTCATCTTCGTGGCCCTTCACTGGACTTTCCCCAGTATGTCCATGTCTGCCCTGTACTGGTGAGCCCCGAACTGGACACAGAGCTCCAGGTGTGGCCTTACCACTGCTGAGTAGAGGGGACCTGCTGGCAATCACAGAATCACAGAATGGTTTGGGTGGGAAGGGACCTTAAAGATCATCCCATTCCAACTCCCCTGCCATGCACAGGAACACCTTCCACTAATTCAGAGCTCCATCCAGCTCAGAGCTCCACCCAGCCTGGCCTTGAACAATTCCAGGGATGGGACATCCACAACTTCTCTAGGCAACCTCTGTCAGTGCCTCACCACTGTCACAGCAAAGAACTTCCTCCTAATACCTAATCCAAACCTACTCTCCTTTAGTTTAGATCCATTCACCCTTGTCCTGTCACTACATGCTCTTGTAAAAAGTCTTTCTTGTAGGCTCCCTTCAGGTACTGGAAGGCCACAATTAGGTCACTCCAAAGATTTCTCTTTTCCAGGCTGAACAATCCCAATTCCCTCAGCCCTTCCTTGTAGGGAAGGTGCTCCATCCCTGTAATCATCTTGGTGGCTTCCTCTAGACTCACTTCAACAGCTCCATGTCTTTCCTGTGCTGGAGACCCCAGACTTGGATGCAGTACTCCAGGTGGGGTCTCATGAGACCAGAGCAGAGAGGCAGAATCACCTCCCCCAACCTGCTGGTGGTTCACAGAATCACAGAATAATTAAGGTTAGAAGGGACCTCTGGAGATCATCCAGTCCAACCCCCTTGCCAAGGCAGGGTCACCTGGAGCAGGTGATACAGGAATGCATCTAGGTGGGTTTGGAATGTCTCCAGAGAGGGAGACTCCAGGCCCTCCCTGGGCAGCCTGTTCCAGTGCTCTGTCACCCTCCATGGACAGAAGTTCTTCCTGATGCTGAGGTGGAACATCTTGTGTTTTAGTTTATGACCATTGCTCCTCGTCCTGACAGAGTCTGGCACCGTCCTCCTGGCACCTGCCTTTGAGACATTTATGTGTATTGATGAGATCCCCTCTCAGTGTTCTCCTCTCCAGGCTGAACAGACCCAGCTCCCGCAGTGTCTCCTCACACGGGAGATGCTCCAAGACCCCTCACCAGCTTTGTGGACCCTCTCCAGTGGGGAGGGGTCTCTCGTGTCCCGACGAGCCCAGAACTGCACACAGCTCTCCACACGCTCCTCACCCGCAGCCCCGCACACCATCTCCGTCCCCGCCGCCCCGTTCTGTCCGTCGAGCCGTTTGCAGCCCCGCCCGGCGCCGTCCGGCGGCCGCCCCGGTCTGCTGGGCGGGCCGGGGGCGGTGGCGGCGGCCGCCGCGGGCGGTTGGGGCAGCGCGGCCTGAGGCCGCGGCCATGGCGGCGCTGGCGGGGGGGGCCCCGTGCCTGCGCCGGCGCTCCTGACGCCCGCCGCGGCCCGCCAGCGCTGGTACGCGCACCGAGCGCGGGCGTCCTTACGGCTACAAACCCGGCAAGGCGGCGCGCGCGGCGGCGGAGCCCCGCGGAGCCGGCAGAGCAGGTGGGACACCCCCGGCGCTGGGCTGGGCTGGGCTGGGCCTGGGCCGGGCTGGCTGGGCTGGGCTGGGTGGGCTGGGCTGGGCTGGGCTGGGCTGGGCCCCCCCCCCTCCCCCCCCCCCCGGCGGGGCTGGCCCCGCAGCGGGGACGCGCGGCCGTGAGGGGTCGGGCTGAGGGGCTCCGTTGTGTTGTCCGCCGCCGCCTCCCGTCCCCCGCGGATCCGGGGGGGGGGATCCCTTGGCCGGGAAGCTTGTGGTTGGCCTGCCCCGCGCCGCCGCAAGCACCAGCTGCTGGAGTTACTTCAGCGATTGGAAGTTACTTCAGTTTTGGTGCCCTAGAAGTACCTCTGCCCCGCGCTTGGCGTTTTCCTTTTCTATTACGGTGCTTGAACTGGCCGTATAGTTACCAATGCAGGTAACTCTCTCCCACAGCGGTAACTGTGATGATTTTAACTCAGTTTTATAGCGCAGAAGTATGATTTCAAGTGCACAAAACTCTCTGGGGCAGGAGTGTGGTCCCTGCGTTAACAACTTGGGAGACTTCGATAGGAATGGGCTCCACAGGACAAGAGAGACAAGAAGCTGCTGGAGAGGGTCCAGAAAGCTGATGGGGGTCTGGAACATCTCTCTGAAGAGGAGACACTGCCGGAGCTGGGCTTATTTAGTCTGGAGAACGCTGCGAGGGGATCTCATCAATACACATAAATATCTCCAAGTCGAGTGCCAGGAGGATGGTGCCAGCATCTTTTCAGTGGTGCCCAGCAACAGGACGAGGAGCAATGGCCATAAACTAAAACACAAGAAGTTCCACCTCAACATGAGAAAGAACTTTCCATGGAGGGTGACAGCACTGGAACAGGCTGCCCAGGGAGGGCATGGAGTCTCCTCTCTGGAGACATTCCAGACTCACCTGGATGCATTCCTGTATCACCTGCTCCAGGTGACCCTGCCTTGGCAGGGGGATTGGACAGGATGATCTCCAGAGGTCCCTTCCAAACATAATGATTCTGGGATTTTTGTGAATTAAGCCTGTTGGACAGAAGCAGGAGTGAAACAGGTTCGTAGCTCAGGGACACCAAGTCCTGTCACAAAGTATCTTCCTTGTTAATAGTTAACATATTTCTATGTTACATTTTAAATGGCTTTCTTGCTGAGAGCATTGTGGGAAATGTTAGAGTTATGTTCTGGGTTATGTCCTCCTTGCAGAACCCACTACAGAAAAGGGCCTGTTTTGAATGGGCTGACTTTGTGAACATAGTGGCTGGAGCAGAGTGTCAGCAATGGAAACACAAATGTCACAGAAATAACTTAGTGAAATGGTCTCAGAAGTGCATTGTTTTGGAAAATGAAAGCCTTCAGACTTGAATACTGTCAGCACGTTACCGAGATGAAAACCCCCTCCACACTAGGAATGGATTATAAACTGGTTCATACAATTAATTTATAGCAGATTCTGCTTGCAATATATTTTATTGTGTGCAGTTTATCAGCCTGGCTTGTGGTCTGTGCTCAGTGACAGTAAGGTGTGTGTGTGACCTTTCAGCTGCTCGTTTGCCTATGTTGATAATTTTTACCACATTTGGCCAAGCACATGCTCTTGGCTCCTGCAGAAACAGCCTTTTTTTCTGAAGTCATGGGACCTGAATTATTGTTAAGACCCAATCCTCCTGTCATTCCAGCAAGGAACAGGGAAGCATAAGTGATATGATTGAGCTGGCTCAGGAAATAATACTTTGTGTGCTGGTGATGTGCTGTTCTCAAGGTGGAGGCACCTGTTGTAAAGACATTCAAAGCAAAGTGAAGTAGTTCTGCATGTGTTTACAGGAGCCTAACTTATGAGGGGAGCCATGGGGAAAATCTAGAGCATACTGGCTGGAAAACTGGATGGGTGAGCAGATTGAGCAGTTTGCTGATGGACATATTGTAGGGTGGTAAGGTGAAACCAACTGCTTAGATACTCTCTTTCCAGCCAGAACCTTGATAGTTGCCAGTGGACAAAACATTCCTGTGTTGGTGCTGTAAGTGGATTAAATGTGAGCACATGTGTGATGCTGTTCTGCTTTCTTTTTGCTTTCAGTTGACCATGCTCTGGCTCGTTTAATAACTGCGTACGCTGAACACGGCCACAAAGCAGCCAAAATAAACCCCCTGTTTGCTGGCCAGGCTGTTATGAACATGGTACCTGAAATCCAGCAGCTGGCTGAAGTTCTTCAAGGGCCTCTCGTTACTACAGGTAAGCCCACAGCCTGCTCACAGTGAGTTCTGTTCGTGGGTGGTTCATTGGGAGGCTGTGGCCTCTGTGGAAGAGCCAAATATTGAGTGGTGGTTCAATCAGTAATGAACTTGTGGATGAGAAATTGTCAACTTGGGCCTGCTTATGTCTGTTGCAGAAATCACAGTGCAACAAGTGGCTGCCTTCTAGCATCTTTGGAAATCAGGAAAAATTGTACTTGTTCTTACAGTTACTGATGTTAAACATTAATGTCTTGTTACTTTGATGATTTACATAACACTGTAGTAAAGCTGTCAAAGTACAGGGGCAGAAATCAAGACTCGTCTTTTCTTGTCTGTCTTAGACTGTTGCTGTGACCTTGAACAGAGGAGGGTCTCTCTCCATGCTTTGTTTTCTCCAAAACACGCCTTGGTGCTTCCCCTTCCTCCCTCAAAGTGACTAATAACATTTATTTCCCACCAGGGCTTCTAAACATGGGAAAAGAAGAATCTTCCCTAGAGGATGTGTTGGCTTACCTTGACCATATATACTGCGGGCACATTTCCATAGAAACAAGCCAGCTTCCAACTCTGGAGGAGAGGGAATGGTTTGCTAAAAGGTTTGAAGAGCTAAAGCAAGAAGCATTTACACCTGAAGAGAAAAAGCACTTGTGCAAACTGATGCTGGAGTCCCAGGTACCTTGTTCTCCTTTGTTGGATTGTAATAGAGTCGTGGAATCTTGTCATGGATCCTTTACTGCTCTGGACACTATTCATGCAGAAAAAGAACAATCACTATCCTGAAAGGCTTTGGCAGTGTGCAAGAGGAAGAGGTACAAGGTTTTGCAGTACACAAATGCAGCAATCTCACTGGAGTTTGTTGCTGAATTTACTTGGCAGCCATTATTGAAACAAAGAGCCATATTTTGGTTTGTACAAACCCATGAGTAATCAGTCTTCAAAAGTGAGATTCTCTGAGGCTAATGATCTGACAGCTCACTGAAATGTTACTGATGGGAACACAAGGCTGGGCAGAGCTCTGTGAAATCTTGTGTTCTGGTGCTGATCTGTTTTACTGGCTTTAAAGTATGGTATCTCTCAAGGTTTTGGGAGAACAAATCACAGCTGGACTGAGGTGTTATGATACAGCACTGGCAAATTTGCTTTTCAGCAAGGAACCTTTGTTCAGTGCATTCTGTGAGGAAATGAAATATTTATGTGCTTTCAAA